TCCTCCTTCCTCCACTCTCCTCCCAGCCTCCTCCCTCTCCCTTCTCTTCTCCTCCTTCCTCCCTCTCCTCCCAGCCTCCTCCCTCTCCCTTCTCTTCTCCTCCTTCCTCCCTCTTCTCCCAGCCTCCTCCCTCTCCCTTCTCTTCTCCTACATCCTCCCTCTCGTCCCAGCCTCCCCCATCCAAAAAGAGTCGAAGAGGTTCGATTTGCACTATACTAAATACATCTTTTTAAATTATTGTTTGGAAGACTTATTACCTAATTATTACAATTGTGTTTTTTATTTTTAGAATGCAGGAAACACAGAACCCAGAAGGTGTTCCTGTGTCAGAGCATTGTGGACAGAAGAATTTTACATGTAAGTATGTTCTAATTTCTTCCTTTTTGTTTTTCTCGTTAAATAACATAAAAACTTAACAGAACATTATTGGTACCGTCTACACTGTATACTGTGGGCAATCCCCACAGGAGCAATTTGGGGTGAAGTGTCTCAGTGACACAACGACATGCTGACTGCAGTGGGGTTTGAACCTGTGACCATCTGATCCCTACACCAACGCACAACTCACTGCACCACACGCCTCCATCAGTGAGATATCTGCACAGAGCCCAAACGATACTAACATATAAACGCCTCTGAATTCAGAGATACACAAGTATCCACTATCGTACCAGTATGGAGCGGTGAGGTTCCTCAGTCCATCCTCGACACTGCACCTTTTTTTGTCATTGTAAGCATTACAGGACTACGTTTTGCATCACCGTATAACCTTGTGTTGTCGGAAACTCCCAGTCTTAAAGAAGCTGCTCCTCACTGGTAAGACAGTGGATTCTTCTGTATCTCTGGTTTCAGATGATGTTGTCTGTTAGTATTGTTTGTGTAGAAATCTAACCTTATTGATGGTCTATAAATGGTACAAATAATGTTCTGTAAAGTTGTATCACCTAACTTTGGAAAGTATCTCTCATTAATATTTCTGTCCATTTCATGTCATGCCTTTCAGCAAAGAGAAGAAGTCAAAATTCGCTGGACACCATGCTCCGAGTGGTAAGTTTTTCGTTAATGTAGGCTCATCTCAATTGAATATTTCACCTTTCCCTCACTTGCGTCCCTTCTTTGCGTCTTAGCTCCGCCTCCGTAAGACGCGAGCGAGAGACACGAGGAGAGAGGAGTCCTCAGGTATGAGTTGGGATGTCCTCATTCACTCCAGCGGCACCATAAACAACGCCCTTTACTTCTGGTGCGTGCAGTTTTACCACCTGTCACTGGACTCCCCTCCACATCAATCCCTTCAAACCTGGGATTTAGTTTCACATTGAAATGATTTCGTCCATCTTTTCCATTCATTTATTTTATTATAGTTTTCTTTGCATTACTTCCGGCATTTTTTTTTTTTCAGCTATATCATTTAATTTAAGTTATAAATATAATCATAACAATAATAATAATTGATGGATTCATTTCATTATAGTATTTGAGCTTGTTTCAGATCAACTTTTGTATTGGATGTTGTTATGTAATTTGTCCTACAGAAGAGAGACACAAATCACTAAAATATGTATTAGTTATGCTCCCCGTATTTGTATATATCCTAAATGTTTGACGTTCTGTGGGTCTACCACACATGCATCACAAACCACAAGTAAGAACTGTACGTTATTATTTTATAATCAAAACATTATTATTGAATTTGTTAGTATATTTCACCCACTTTAATGTTTTTATAGATTTCGATCTCTCATTCGTTTAAGAGATTTAATATATTTGACTCTTAATGAAGAACTTTAAACATTTAATGACTCTGATCCTCCTTTAACGGTAAGAACAGCTGCAGTGAGCAGAGGCTGTGCAGCTGGGGGCGGGGCTCTGATGCGCGAGTAGTGTGCTCTCGTGTATCCTACCTTTCGTCTCCTCTGGAAGCCTCCTCCCTTACCCCTCCTCGACTCCTCCGTTTGCATTGAAGCGATTGTGATGTCCTTCAACATGGCGTGTCTTGATTGATTTCCGGGTCAAGTCCTGGAGGAGGGGGAGAGAGGAGTCGAGGAGGGGTACTGAGATGAACCTAGTGTTTCAAATCCTATTTTAAATTGACTTACTTGCCTGATTAAGTATCAGAAATATATATAGCATGACATATTAATAATTATTCAATTGTTCTTTATGTGTGTTTTGCAGTGGCAAGGACTGGGAGGACACATGGGAGCCTGCCCAACAGTATAGCAGCTCAAAATGATCACACAGACATACACATACACACACACACACACACACAATAAGTTGTTTCAATAAATTGTTTCATGAAAATGTTGTTTCTGTTGTGTATTTTTTGAAAAATTATTTCTCAATAGGGTAAAGCCTTTTAAAATGTTTGGTATGTTAATGAAAATGTGACAATCATTATTTGCAAGATAGATATCCATTTTTGTTATGGTCTTCTGTTTATGTCATGAATAATACTGGTACAATTTAAATTTGCCCAAAAACGTGGAAATGAGAGCAGACCAGATTTTCTAAATGCCAGGGCCTGGAACATCAGGAGCATCTCTAAAAGACGATATGTGACAGTCCTGCAGCAACGGACCATATGAGAAACATTATGTTTTGTAGCATTAAAACTGAAAATGTGGATTTGTCAGGTCAACATGTGACTTATCTGGTTTGCTATAACAGTTTCACTCCCCAGTTTAACTGTATTTGACAATCATTAAATCCACAAACATAATTTGGTAAATAAATCAAAGACAATAGTGTAAATAAGAAAGGTTTAGTTTTTGAAACTAGTAATGGGGAAGTTGATACATTAACTGTCAGCAAGTACATTTCTGTCATATTTAGAAGATAGGAAAAAAGGTGAATAAGTATTCTCTCTAATGTCGATTGATTTTACAGTGATATTTGCATTACTCATCAACTCCAAAACACAAGATTACACAACATTGATTGGTTTAAATTGTGTACAATGATTTTGTGTTTTTCCCCCTTCGATTCGGAGATAGTTTTTTCTGAGTTTAAGACGGCCGAAGACACTACACTACCCATAATCCTCAGCTATAATACACAGCAACATGTAAAACATGCAATTCATTGTTACTTTGTAATTCTACTCCACTACAATTCAGAGGTTAACCTGGTATTTTTACTCCACTACATTTATTTGAGTTACTTTGCAGATTCTGATTAATGTGAAACATAAACAACATCGTCAACATCAGACTTTAGTTACACCTGAGTACAATTCAGGGAAAGGTGATTGTCAAGTGCAAACAATCAGGAGAGATATTTGGTAGTGGGTGCTTGAGAAGACTAAACATTTATCTGCAGATCCCTATAAAGCTATTCATTACTCTTTATTCTCTAATCGTTCATTAAAGACTGTATGAAATGGCTATTTTCGACATATTTCCGAGTGTGCTTGCTTTTCTCTTTGGAGGTCATCACATAACGGCATTGTAATACACGGTTCGGCTGCATTAAATATTACATATCTGCCTTAGTTCGATATTTATAAACCCCTGTTGAGAAGACTTCTGGACAAACATGAGGAACTGAAAACGTGACGTGGATCATAAATATATCAGCCATTAAACAACATCTTACATTTCTTTTCACACAATACGTCTCCTTGCAGTATCAACACTAATTCAGCTGACTTTTGTATTTGATCCAATTGGTAGATAGGCTGTATTTACACCATAACGGTGCACAGCTGATATAAAGGGACACCTAGTGGTTAAAGCATGTTATTACATTTCATATTAATAGGATCCCTATAAAGTATTCATTACTCGTTATTCTCTACTAATTGTTAATTAAAGACTGTATATAATGACTATTTTGCACATCCCTTTCAAGATTTCAAGAATTTCTAAGGTTTATTGACATATCATATACACAACTACGGTGTAGTTATGCAATGAATGAAAAACTTGGCAGGTTCGTCAACACTGCATAACAAGACATCTATCAATATGTGTGTATACCTCCAGCAATAAACAGTCATATTATGCACATTTCTTATCTACATACATCTTATAAGAGTATAATTAATATGTAATATCAGTTAAAATAAGTGCTTAAACATAGTTAACATTAAAGGACAGTTGATTGTCAAGTCCCAAAACAAATTATGCAATATATTAGACTTTAAGTACTTTGTCAGGCTTAATATTTATCTGTAGATTTACCAAAGCTTTTTGCTTACATGTATTTAAAAGAAGACCTTAACTTAAAGTATTATTTCATATTTTAATAAAGCCTGATTAGTTTGTCTGATTTGCACATCCTCTATATTAATATCTGTGTACATCCAGCACTAAACTTGTATTGTAGAGATATCTTACAGTAGCCTATCTTCTTGATATTTTCTATTCTATATTTCTATCATTGACCTTCTACTTTCCCCCTATTTTGTATGTACTCTTAATATTTACATATTTTCATCAAATGTAATCCATTCAACCAAACAAGCAGCAGAGATTAGCAACACAACCTTACCTGCATTGCAACGACTCTAAACATGTAATAACTTGCTTTAACCACTAGGTGAATAATACAGACGTATAAAGTACACATGGTATACAATGCTATCAAAAACACATGTTAATGTACATATCTAACTATCATTATCAAGCACAATATGGACTATATGAGGCTTATGCATTGTACCAGGTGTAGGCTAAGTCAAAAACAGGCAACTGATGGTGTGTGAAAGGTCATTTATGAGGATGAAACAAATGAGGTACACAGAATACAATGCCATTTTATCTGTTTTATTATTAGTGTAGGACAGATATGTATAACACCTGAATATGTTTTATTCCTGTTATCACATAATTGTAGAAGATATAGCTATATTATTGCACTTATTTGAGTTCTATCTACACATGAATATCTGATTTGTAAAACATCACACAAAAAGGTTTATCCGCCCCCTCATGGTGCTAATCAATATGTGTGTTTGCTAAACAGAGATACAAACAGAACATGAGTGAACAGTCAAACAAATTGTTATCAACTTTATTGTTATGGGACATTGTTTACATAGTGTTTCAGAGTAGACATGTAATAACATCTGAATAAAATGAAATGATAGAAAATGCCTTCAACAACCTGAAGAAAAACTTACTGGACATACATATTAAGACATTAGGAAATGTCTCTTTTTTTTTTTGTCGGAGGGCCGCAGGTGACGAGAGGGGGTGTAGGGCTGAAGGAGGTCAGAGATGTATGGAGGGGCTAGGGAGTGGAGAAATGTGTAGGTTAGCAGGAGGAGTCTGTACTGGATGCGTGACTTGACCGGGAGCCAGTGAAGGTGGAGGAGAGTGGGGTTGTGTTGCCAGGGCTTAGTGCGGGTGAGGAGCCTGAATGCAGAGTTCTGGACGTACTGGAGCCTGTCCAGGGCTTTGCTGGTGACCCCGAACAGAACTCCATTGCAGTAGTCCAGACGAGAGGAGATGATGGTATGTATTAATGTTTCTGCAACGGGGTCGGGGAGAGAGGGCTGGAGTCTGGAGATGTTTCGAAAGTGAAAAAAAGCAGTTTTGACAGTAGACCTGATGTGGGAGTTGAAGGTGAGGCTAGAGTTCAGAGTGACGCCCACGCTGGATGGAGCAGCCATCGATGGTGAGGAGCAGATCTCCAACCTTCCGGAGCAGTGTTTTTGGGGCCACAACCATGAGCTCTGTTTTGTTTTTGTTGAGTTTCAGTAGGTTTGTTGACATCCAGGTTTGGATGTCGCAGAGGCAGTTGACTAGTGACAGTGGGGTAGCTGGGATGTACCTCTACTGATGTAGAGTTGGGTGTCGTCGGCATAGGAGTGGAAGTTGAGACCATGTTGGCAGAGTATTTCACAGAGGGGGAGCATGTAGATGATAAATAGAAGGTAGTCTGGAGGGGGCTTCACTGTGTGTCATCAGAGCTGTCAGAGTCGCAGTCAGAAGACTCATCTGAAACACTTTCAAGAAGCTGATGGTCTCTGTTCCAGTCAAAACGTGCTGGTAGCATCGTCTCGCATGAGTCTTCATTTCTCCGATGTCGTGCTGCTTTTTCCTGAACATGCTCTGGAGACCTTTCATTACGTCTTCGCTCAGGCCCAATGGTGAATCTTTAATGTATAGGATAAAGACAATATCAGTTATTTCATCACCTATCACTGATGTGTAAAGTCATGCAAAGTAAAAACGTAATATATACTGTACTTTGCAGGCAGGACAGCTCTTTCAGTGAATCACTGCGGGTTGAAAGGACCTTCCAGTGGTGGTTCATTTCTGTGACGAGAATCTTCTTCTCCTCCTGTAATCTCTTCACTGCCATGACAAGGTCGAACGCTCTTCTCTTTGTCCTGAGGTCGAAAGACTCTGGAAAGCATTTATGACAAAACATGAATTCATGTGTATGAAAGATCAACATTCAAAGAATCTATGAAGTCTTACATAGTTTTATATATCAGGTTTTCCACATTTGCTGTGAGCATTCAGCAGACTGGTGGACTTACCACTGTTTGGTAGCTGCCATGGCCAAGCTTTCTCCACAGACAGAATGGCTTGGAGGCACAGAGCTTCTGTGCTTGGAACCATTGAGTTGTATTTCTCAACTGTGGCTGTCAGGACCCCTTTCTCATCCCTGATCTTGCGGCGGATCCGCGAACGACCTTTGTTGCTGTCTGTGTCTTTGTAGAGACGCTGCGAACGTCTCTTGACACTTACTGTCAGCATTTCGATCTTGCTGGCCAAGGCAGCAGCATCCCTTGGGTTGTTTGTTGTTGCTTTTTAGACAACATAGGCGTATTAAGCACAGTAATTCACAATAACAGACATTTGATCAAATGTTTTAAGATTATTTTATTACATATGTTTCATGAAAAAATAAGTCTGAAAATCAAAAATAAATTGATAAATCATGACTCCAAAAAAGTTGAAAAACTTCATTAAGATTGTCCTCACTTTCTGCCCACTCATTCACATCTCTGATCCAGTCTTCCAGCTGCTTTTCAGTCACTGCCAACTCAGCCTTCATGGACTCCAGGTTCTGCAATTGCTTTTCCAGAGCTTTTGTGGTCTACAAACGTCAAACAATTAAAGACAAGTAAATACAGAAATCTACATTTAGGCTGCAGCCACAAATAATTCTAACTAAGAATATGTCATTCTTCTAAAACGATGTTATTACCTTCAGATATCTGCGGGACAGTGAGGTGGCCAAGTTGCTGACTTTTTGCTGATTCCAGCGCATGGCCATCAGCGTCAGCATGTCTGTACGTCCTGCAAAAGAGAATATCACGTTATTATTATTCCTCTTACTTCTTATACTGAAACTGGGGTTTATACTATATTGCCATCCTAAATTGTGCTCTATGGTCATAACCGTCAATGAGCTTTTATGAGTTTGTGTTGTTGGTGTAATTTGCTAGTGTAATCTGTGCCTTTCTGATTTTTTTTTGAAAACTGACAGTAAAGGTTCTATCGTAACTCACCTGCTTTTGACATGTGTTTTGTGGTCACTGCTATCCGAGAGAGGAAAGCATTGACCTGTTCCACCTCCTCCCCTAGGGTTAGTCCAGCCCCCTCTTGATATGCCCCCACTCCATTTCACCTGTTTAAAATATATTCAAAAGTACGACTCGTTACAACTTGTCACTATTCACATGGAGGTTTTTACATAAAGTGATTGTGTCACATGGTAACAATTCCTCACTTCACATTTGAAGTCATGCGCTTTGGCATGAAACACTGAGAGAAAGGGCTTCATGTCGAGAAGATGCTGGAGCTCTGGACAGCTTTTTGTGATTCTCTGGAGGTAGGGCCAATATTTGCAGGTCACATCCATGCAAAAGAACATACTACTGGCCAGCTTTGTCTGTAGGTACAAGGGATAAGCAAAGATTTCTCCCCTGTACATATTGAGGGCACAGAGGAGCACTCCATGTCGACAGACGGCAAGCTCTAGTCCCTCCTCATCCAGCTTGTTGGCAGATTGTTGGGAGGTCTCTCTGGCTGCCGACCACTGTCCTCCACAAACACCTCTTCCGGAGACCTAATATATAAAAATGTATTGATGAAAATGGTGCAAAGACTTACATAACCAAACCCTTCATTAGGATATTATATTCTATTATACGTAATTAGAGTCTGCAATATTAAATGTTTGGTTGTGGTGTGTATATAGTCCACAAATCTTGAGACGTCTTCATCCCTGGCTATAAAGACACCGTCAAAGATGGCCTGTTCCTCAGATCTAAATAAATCAAAGGAGCAATGTATGACATCTCAGATTATAAGGTTGATTAGTTCACATCAAGATACTTTTGTTTCGTTATCTGTTCAAATACTGTGACATTATATATTTTCTATAGTACCTAGCTGCATTCTTGAAACGGTAATGCTTGCGGTTTCCATCCACGGAAACTGCAAGCATATCAGGGCTGCACGCAGGACAGGTGAAGGGCTCCTCCTTGCACATGATGTCCACCTCATAACGCACAGCCTCCCACTCAAAGAAACTTTTGATGAAGCTGTCAGTTGAGATCTTTCCAGTCTATAACAAAATAAGGACATCAACAGTCAATATGTCAAAAATAAATTATAAATTATAAGGACACAGCTTACAATTTGTACAATACAAATAGATCAAAAAGGACAAGTAACTTCAATACTCACACGGCCGAAGCGTAACGTTCACTGATCTAGCATCCTTAAATATGCCAGAAAGGATAGTCCAGGTGCAGCCATTTTCATTTCTTCAAATGAGAAGAAAACATCTGTGGCATAAATGGTGGCGAAGTGAAGGGTAGCTGGCCAGTAGTCACTCCGAAGAAGGTCGTCAACACCAGTCGTCCATGTCGCAGCGCATGCTTCACAAGCCAACTCTGGCATGCTTAGCTCATGGCGTCCTTAAAAAACAGACACAGTGTTTTTAATACATTTGGTATTCTTTACTCAATACCCATGTTAAGTTTTAATAAACAAGCTATCCCACATGTCTTTGAGAAGGGTTGGATATTATCAAGAAGAAACTTCAATAACATCTATCTTAAGAAACAAGACCAACATTCTTCCCATTCTTCCCATTCATTGTGATCACAGTCACAGTCTCTCCTGGCTTGAGGCTCAATGACTCTGAACCACAGATGTGGTCCGGGATCTCCACAGGTACAAACCGCACTGGAAACAAATTCAAATGGAAATTAAAAATAATTTGTCTTTTTTGAGAAATACATTATTGTTATGTGACAGATTTAGGATTTAACTTTACATCAGAAGATTAAAAAGAGACTTAAGCACACTGCTGGGAATTATCACAGAGATCTTCAGGAAGCTCACATTTTCAAAATGAAGTTCTCAACAAGTCCAGCAAGAAAATGTACATTCACAAACCAAAACTTACCGCAGGAGCAAAGGGCCATATTTACTACATGTGTTGTTGGGGCCAATGGCTGGAAGTAACCTGCAGTAGTAGCATCTCTGTTGTGGAGGGGGTGTCTGGTGTGCATGCTGACATCACAGTCAGCACAGAAGAAGGGATGTGGTCGGCAATCTCGGCACCGGACAACAGACGTTTTGCTCCAACACTGTTGGCAAATGTGTGTTCCCACATTTGCTTGGGCCACTACGGTGTTAACCAGATGTGGTCTCGCTGCCCTCCAGCTCTCTAAAAAAAAACTTTTTCGAGTGCTCCAGTTGGTCGACGCCAGCAGAGAAGCACTTGGGGTTTGTGCTACCACCTCATCTCCTGTAGTATCGCTCAGAGACTGCTGGAGATCTCGTAGAAACCCCTCTGTTAAAATGGTACAATAAATAAATAAATATAAAATAAAGTCCAAAGCATGATTATTTTTCTTTAAAACATACTGGATGGAGTAGTCTTGAAAGCTGTAACTACTGTGTTCTTAATTCTAGCAAATGACGAAGTTTAGAAATGAAGTACGTATCACATAAAGATACAAGTATGAATATGTGTTTCGGGCTAACCAGACCAAATGAAGTACATACCAACAGTCTCTGGAGCGATAGCTGGAGCAAATACCAGATCACAGTCAGGAGCATCAACGGGGGGATCAGTTTTACGACTGCAGCCAGCTGTATCAGAAAAAATAGTTTTTTCATTTATACCATTAAATTGTACTACTTTTCCCTTACCAAGAGTTATGTTTTCATTAATTCATATATTCAAGTGCCTAGAAATGTATATCTTATACTGACCCTGATTGGAGTCATTCCGGGTTGAACGTGGTCTTGCAAAGATCAAGTCTCCCTCACTGTCTCTCTTCTTCCAGCACACCTTTCGCACTGATAGCACTGCTGTTGCTGCTGTTGCTGCTGCTTCCAGTTTACAAAGCAAATCATCAGCACTCCGTTGGTCATCCCTGAACTCTTTCTGCTCAACCAGCTCATCTGCGCTTCTCAGGAGATCCTCGAGAACAGGATCACTCATTATAGTGAAGAGACACAGACAGAGACACAGACGAAAGACTGACAACAGAGTTAGACGGAGAAAGAAAAAGAGAGATAGGAAGAGGCTATGAAGTACAACACAGCAAGGACAGTTTAACAAGACAGACGTGGCTCTTAAAAGTGCCTTTGGGTTGTTTGGAGTTTGGAAAAATCAAGGGTTGTTTTTTGGAGAACAAATTGCAGGATCTGTTGAGAGAAAACAACATCATTTAGAAACTCAAAACTAAACAAACAATGCCAGTGTAATTGTTGTTGTTTACAACTTTTCTACTTGTCTGCGCTGCTGGCTTCCTCCAAGTTTACAGTAAAATAAACTGGTGGTGTGACCAATGGCCATTTACAATTATTAATACTATTACTATTATTAGCATTAGTCTATATTTTGGTTGAAACTAAGCCAGGAAAAAAAAGAAAAACATAAATAATAATAAAAAAAATATATAAATAAAATCGAATTAAAAAAGAAAAGTTCGATTATGGGGAGACTGTAACGAATATTCGAAAAATCGCTGGCATCCCTACTTACTTCTGTTGTCATTAAAGGTATTTTCACACCATCGCAAAGCAAAAACACTGCCACCAGTCATTTAAATAAGTAATGTGTACAACTATTATAAAAGTATTATTATTATTAATAATAAAAACACATGTATACAAAGTATTATTAAAACTTATTCATAATGTATAACCACCAGTATTTGTTAATATAAGTAATTGTTAATACAAATAGATATACTTGAACTTTAAATTGTGCAAGCAATACTTACTTAAAGTAGTACTCGCCGTGAGCTAGCTAGCTAGCTAGCTCACAGCTAGCTAGCTCATTTGTTATATTTGGATAATACCCTATATTATTTAGTTACTATACCCCTCAGAAAGGTGCCAGAAACAACATTGGCAACGATTAGATTATTATTATTATTATTATTCGTGGCTAAATTGATCGTATTTCATATAACTATCGTACGGTGGCCGGCAGGTGCAAACGCGGAACAACGGCCCAAAACAAATACATTAGCAGGAAACAGCTGCAAATCCTCAAATGAAAAACAAACAAATCCTGAAAACAAATACAACCAAAAAACGCTGCATTTCCAGAAATGATGCAAACTAAATACAACACACAAACCCCGAAAACAAACGCAACAAAAAAACGATGCAAATACCAAAACGACAAGCAAAGTCCAAAGCACGTACAAATCCCAAAACACATACAAAAAAAAACATTCCGGAAGTGTTCCAGGCCTCTAGGGGGCGCGCTACGTGGAACAGATTGATGTCTGACCAGACATAGAGGGAACGAACAAGAGTGCTGCAAATTGAAGCCGGAGGAAACGAAGTTGATCGAAGTGGAAAAAGACGATATATAAAAAGGTACGTTTTGTTTTGATACAAAGAGCGTCATATTTACCCAGCTAGCGTTAGCTTGTTTGGTGAAAGAGCTTGCAGGTCAAGAGACAGCACTGTCTGTGCACCTAAATGTAACTCTTGACATCATATAGATATATTATAGGTGCAGAGAGGAGTTGGTGTATTGTGCTTCAATGTAAATCCTAATGTGAGAGTTAAAGGACGGTCAACAATATAATGTACCTTGGTCAGTTTGGATTTATCGTGGCATTTATTCTTAATTAAAGTGAATTTATTTTATTTCAGTCAGTCATTTGTGTGTATGCAGGTGTGGGACATTCCAAATGTTCCAAAAGTGAGCACTCCACGAATGGACAACAGTTTGCAGGGTAAAATAAAACATTGTCAACATATTATTTTGTGCCACAAGAAGCAGAATGTTTTAACAGTACAGTAGTTTGAATATATTTGTTGTTATCCTTTATCAGACCTCTCAGGCACCCACAACCAGCGTCTGATCGGGTAAGACTAATTACAAATGTAATTATACCATGTAGGTTTGAATTTGTGAACATGAAATCAATAAATACCTTTGTGTGCACTTATTTCCTGGGTAAAAATTCCCCATTCCAGGAAGAGGTCCAGTCTGCCCCGGGTCAGAACCACTTCTACAGGTAAACCATGTTGACAGTTGCATCGTGACACAGTTGTTTGCTGTGTATCTTTATTTTACATTTGTTTGTTTGTATAGCCTCCAATCACAGTGGGTAACATTGCCAGGGAGCAGAACAATTGTACTTTTATACATTTCCAAATGACACCCACAACATCTGACATCTTAGTGAAGACGATACAAAAAACACCCACAAATATTTTTCAAAGATCAGATATTTTTTGTTGCATCCATTTCAAATGTTTACAAGGATTGTGCAGGAGTATGACAAAGTGCTGTTGTCAGTTTAGAACCCAATGTATTGAAAAAACAGGAAGAGGATCGACATCCTTTTGTAAATATGACTGTCATCCATATATTATGTATTTGAAAGTAATTATTCAACTGTCTTCTCACTGCAGCAACTACACAACTGTGTATGCACTTATCATTATTGATAGCCAGTCTGAGCCAGAAGACAACATGGAGCAAAGGTATTAATTGTTACTATTACCACTTGATTTTTCTATTCTATACTGTAAATCTTATTACTAGCTTCATCATTTAATATTACAATACATCACTTTGTCTTTCCCAGCACAGAATACCTGACTGCGGCACACATTGTTGCAGAACTCTCTGCAGAAATAACAAATACATCTTGCAGCAGGTTCAATATTAATAGAGCCAGTGTGTGGGATGGAGCAATCCGCGGCTTCAAAGGTGCCTCATTCGATCCCTCTCATGAGATGTCAGTTAAGTTCACTGATGATGAGGGACACACTGAGGATGGAGGGGACACTGGTGGTCCCAAGCGTGAGTTCCTGACCCTCCTTATGGAACGCCTGAGAATGAAGAAAACATCACGTCAGCAACTGTTTGTGCCCCATGGCGGTGTGACTTTCCCAGCCGCTCACTGTCTCAAAATCTGATTCTAAATGTATAATGTTCTTTATAAAGATAGAACTAATACACAATTATGAATGTATAATATAAGCTGTTTTGTGTATTTAATCATGCATTGGTCTACAATTTAATGATGGCTTCTACATATTTCACATAAACAGACAATGAAAAAATGTGTCCTTCATGCTGATAACTAGTGTATGCATCTGCCAATTAGTATTCTAAACAGAGTAGTGTGTTGAATCCTTATTTCTTGCATTTGAAGAATGAACTTACTGTTGTGTTCAGCTTCTGCCACAAACTGTACATGTTTGCCACAGGAGCCACAGAACACTTGAACTGTTCCCAGATGCTGGCCACAGAAAGGACAAAACATGGCGGCCTGAAAAGACATACATTGATGTAGTAAATCCATTTAATCAAGTTAATCAAAAACACATAGTCTAAATAGTGGTTAGCTAAATAAATAGAAAGATACATCATGTTTACCGTTGAATCTGTGTTCTCTCTCTCCTTGAATGTCTCTATATTTGTTCTTGAGCATGTCTAATGCACACTACTCTCCTGTCATTACTTTGTCCCTCTTCACATGTTGTCACATCTCTCTCTCTCTCTCTCTCTCTCTCTCTCTCTCTCTCTCTCTCTCTCTCTCTCTCTCTCTCTCTCTCTCTCTCTCTCTCTCTCTCTCTCTCTCTCTCTCTCTCTCTCTCTCTCTCTCTCTCTCTCTCTCTCTCTCTCTCTCTCAATTCAATAGCTTTATTAGCATGACCATAGTTACAGGTAATTGCTAAAGCTCTGTATAGTTGCAACATCTATACACAAATATATACATATAAACAAACTGCTAAGAATTCAAATGTCCTTTTTCCGCGGTACTCACTACGGCCCGTGTTATTTGCCTGCACTTGATTTGTCATCTCTTTTAACAATGTTCTTCCCTCACTTTATCTTCTCTTCACGTGAAGCTCTCCTCAGCTGGTGTAGTAGTTAGGCACGCTCACGCTAGCTATATAAATATGACGCTCTATGTATAAAAACAAAACTTACCTTCTTATATCTTTCTCCACTTAAATGAACTTTCTTTCCTCTCGATTTCCATCACTCTTGTTCGTTCCCTCTATGTCTGGTCAGACATCAATCTGTTCCACGTAGCGCGCCCCCTAGAGGCCTGGAGCACTTCCGGAATGTTTTTTTTGTAAGTGTTTTGGGATTTGTATGTGCTTTGGACTTTGCATATCATTTCTGTAAATGCAGCGTTTTTCTGTTGTATTTGTTTTCAGGGTTTGTTTGATTTTCATTTCATTATTTGCAGGTGTTTCCTGCTTATGTATGCGTTTTGGGCCGTTGTTCCGCGTTTGCGCCTGCCGGCCACCGTACTATGGCCCATTCCCAAACCGCCCCCTACACCCTACCCCTCCGTTTGCGCGTTCACGCGAAGGGTCCGCCATATTGAGGGCTGGTCCAAAGCAATCAGGGCGGAGGCGTAGTGGGTTATAAAAGCCTCCGACAGCGAGTTTCCACGGATGCAGGCTTGATAATCTCACTCCACAGGTGTGCAACCGTTTTTCGGGCATGGAGGAAACAACGTCATACAAATGTGAGTTCCATGTGGTTATTTTTTGATAAATAATACGTTGCCTTAACTAAAACATGCCTTTGTGAACATGTATTTATAAATCTACACGTGTTAATTTGATTTGCCAAGATTACATTAGATTTTTATTTTGAAGATGTACAAATCTAAATCGGAATCAAACTAACAACACATGTGTCAATTCATGTATCCATTCACTTACGAAATCGGTTTAAACTTAAGTGTGATTTGTAATTTCAGGGACTGTGGTAAAAACCAAGGCACTTATTGCTTTAAGAATGGACAAGGACGACCTGTTCTGCAAAAAACGCAATGCTGCTAAAGAAGCATGGGAGTGAGTTATGCACTCAATTCATATTTTGTGCAATGAAAGTAATGAATGTGTACTGTGGGTCATTGCCTTAACACCAATATATATTGTTTAAATATTCTATGATAACAGGTCAATCATTAAGGAACTGGACCTTGGGCAACATGTGTCTCACAAACAGGCCTCCAAGAAATGGGAGAACCTAAAAAAGAAATACAAGGTAAATGGTGTATTGTTATTGTAAAACATGTTTGTTTTTGAAAAAGCTGAACAAAGATTTCTAACATGCATTTGTTTGCAATAGGAACTTAAAAGGACTGGAACAGGGACTAATCAGGAGGAATAAATCCCCTGCAACATGGCCCTTCTTCATGGCCATGGATGAGGCCATAGGTGCAATGCCTTCAATTAGTCCTCCTGTCCTTGTTGCCTCAGCCTTGGCAAACCCCACAATCCTCTTTGATCCGGAGGCTGCTTCCTGCTCCTCTTCCTTCCCCCCCCCCCAAATGTGGCTGATGATCCAGACCCCTCACCACCCTCATCACTGTCTGAGGCTGGAACCACCCAGCAGCCCCCCCCCCAAAAAAAGAAAAGGTGCTATGGGAGTGCTGGAGTGCCTAGAACGCAAGGCAGAAAAAGAGGACGAACGCCACAGAGAAATAATGCAGCACTCAGATACATTTCTAACCCTGTTCGAAAAAAATGCTCGACAAAATGTGATTTATTTTTTCCCCCCCACCATTGGCCATTTCTATGTTTGATTATTGATGTTACTTAAAATACGTTTTTGTTCGCTTGTATTATTTATTTGGAAGACAATAAACCTAATTTAACGTACTGTCCTTCATGTCTTCAATATTGTATGGGATATAGTGAATACAGGTAGACGGGTGATGAAGGTGACATGGCGTTTGCTTGATTGTTAGATGGCTACATCGTTCTGTGTGGGTTTCATAATGTAGAAGGAAAAGTTTTGCACAAAGTAATGTTGTGCACGGAACTAAAGTGTTTTTTCCAAAGTCTGAAGATTAACCCTGAATATCAGCATTTTAAATAAAGATATGTCTGTGCGCTTCATAGGTATAAGGCATTCAAATATACATGCCATTTACGGTCTTAATTGCTCATGTCAAACCATTTGCAGAGTTTCACTCAAAAACTAAAGTGATTGTATTAGAAGACCTGTGTTAATTTTCTGAACCTTTGCTCTGTGCTCGTGATTGAATGATCCAAGAGGTAAGGACATTTGTCTCCAATTTGGGATTATAGAGAAAGACAATTCAGGAAAACCAAGTTTGAAATCAACGGTGCACAGGTTTATTTTACCTCTTTTCTCTAAAGTGAGAAGTGGAGCTCACTAAAACAAACAAAATTAAATCAGGTATGTGTGCACATCATTTCAAAAACACAAGTTAACAGACAACCACGTTTTTCCAAAAAAAAATAAAGTTCATTAGATGTAATCGTGCTCTCTCAGGTGTGGTGCCATTTGGACAGGAGCAGAGAGTTGTGCAGCAATCCTGTTCCTTAGGTGGTGTCCAGGACTTTCCTGTCCACATGCTGCGGCAGGGGGAGGACTCTGGTCCCCATCTTCAGGGGGGAAGGCTTCAAAGTCCTCAAGGACATTGTTCATGTCTATGCACAGATTGTGCAGAAATGCACAACATGCAATGATGTCAGGGGCAAAGCTTGGACTGACCTCCAGCGCTTTGAAAAGGGTGGCCCTCCAGCGAGCCTTCATCCTTCCAAATGCTCTTTCCACCACAGACCGAGCCCTGGCATGATGCCTGTTGAATCTGGCCTGCACCTGGCCGAGAGGGACCTTGTAGGGTGTGAGTAATCCCACTGGTTTTTCCAGGCAGGGATAACCACCGTCCCCAAGGAGGAACCAACCAGCTGGGATAAACAGTGCCTGGCAGAAGATGGGGCTGTTTCGCAGTACTCTGGCATCATGAACGGAGCCTGGATAGCCGATGAAGCCATCCAGGAATCTCCCAGTTGAGTCACAGATGGCCTGCATCTGGATGGAAGGAAACAGCTTGTAATTGATGTACTCCTTGTGGTACTCGTTTCCTGGAGGTTTGATGCAAATATGGCATCCATCAATCGCACCAGCAGCACGGTGAAATGCAGGACTCTTTGCAAGCTGACAGAAGCCATCTGCAATCTCTGGCAGCTCATCTGGGGTTGGCAGGGAAATGAGGGTCTTCAGGTTGGCCTTTATCTTCCCGGTGACGTGTTTGATGATCCTGTGGACCGTCGATTTGGGAATCCCGAATGCTGAACCCACCACAGAGAGTGATAGTCCATGGGCCAAGCTGTAGAGGAGAACAAGCACCTCGATGTCTTGTCCCCATCCGTGGTCCTTTGGGGAGGAAAGCATCTGCACTAAATACACCACACTAGATCGCTTAACTCTAAAGTCCTTCTTTAGACAGGCTTCAGGGTTGGCATACACGGCGAGAATTGGGGCAGTGGCATTGAGCTGCATGTAAAGACCTTTGCCCCCCTGTAAAAGACAAACACAGGACACAGTATTGTTCAATAACTATACTCCAACACACACACACACACACAGCTCTGTAAACAAGTCTGAGACCAAGTCAAATTAACCTTTCCTTTTTTATTCTATAAACTACTGACAACATTTCTCTGTGTTGGAATTCTACAGACACTATACAGATATACACGTATAGCTTATAAGGAAAGAATAAATGAATGTATATCACAATATATCTAAATATCTATTTGTATTACACATACAAAGTTCATAGGCTACTATATAAGAAATAAAGTGAAGATAATTGTTGTATTAGCAATATTGAAATGTTTACCTGCCACTGGCACATCGCTAAAATGCGCCTCAACCTTCTGCGCCTTCTGTTGGATCTTGCCATTGCACCCGCTAACAGGCGACGGATAGCAACGCAGGTCAATGCAGCCGACAGATGGAGATGTGAGTTGGACACCATGACGTCCGTGTCCGTTTCCGTTTCCGTTTCCTGCGGAGAGAGGGGAGGCCGTCCCAAAGCTTGCCGCTGTATTTATACCCTTAACCCTTAATGGAGGGAACTTCATTCAGCTGTGAGTGTGCCTACAGACGGAGTTCACTCCGTCACGGAGGGGGAGGGTCGAGGGAGTGGTTTGGGATTGGGCCTAAGTGTTACCCATGCGCTTACCTTGATTCTGAAGAACGCGACTCCAGGTTTGGTCACGTAAAGTGCAAAGGTATGCCGTCTTTACGACGGTACCTGAGGATTGTGGGTAATGTAATCGCAAAGCTCTCCAATATGGTCGTCACAACAATAGCTGGGGATTGTGGGTAGTGTAGTCTCTTTGGCGCTCCACATTTCAGAGAAAACAAGTTGTTTCTCAGAATTGAAGGGGAAAAACACAAAAGCATTGCACACAATTTAAACCAATCAATGTTGTGTAATTAACAAGGATAATCTGGTGATTTTTAGTCGATGAGTAGTGCAGATATCACTGTAAAATCAATCGACAGTAAGGGGAATACTTACTTCCGGGTACAATTCTCCGTTATCCAATGGCAATGGACGCTCACATTACCTTTAAGGGCAG